GTGGGCGTCCACGGAATCCGTCCGGTTGGGCTGCCTGAAGAATTAGATAATATGACAGAAAAAACATATATACCGTCAACATCTTCTTTGCTGTGAAATCCGAAAATATACATGTACAATGCCGTGTACATGGAAGAAGTGGGCGTCCACCGACCACCTCGTTTTGGTCTGCCTCAAGAATCAGAGATGTAAACAGAAACAACACATCGCAAACATCTCCTTTGCTGATTGGTAGAAGCATAACCTAAATGCCTAGTTCTTACATGTCGACAGAACAACACTGGCATACTGTCAACATTCTCTTCGCTATAAAATCCAAAAATATGTTATTCCGATACATGGAAGAAGCGAGCGTTCACCGACTTCATCCTGATAAGTAGCCCGATAAATTAACGGCAGGTTGGCATGACGTACGATATCACACACCCCAGACCGATTTTCAGAGGTCGACAACTCCACGAAGAAGAGAACGTGATCACATCAAACGACACGCTCACGGAAAGCTCTCGGCGGGACGGTTCCAACGTCGCAATTTTCGGCACGTCCACGTCTCGACATTTTCTCTCTCACCACCACAGCACGACGTTGTAGTCGGCTAGCCCCTCCTATTTCACGTCTAACAAACAAAACACTAAATAAACGTCATATCCTCTTCTTTTCTCACCACAGCTCGACGTTGGTATCGGCTCAACCCTCCTCTTCTTCGACGTCTACAAAAAAAAAAAAAAATCTCCACATTTTCTCTCTCACCACAGCACGATGTTGTAGTCGGCTAGCCCCTCCTATTTCACGTCTAACAAACAAAACACTAAATAAACGTCATATCCTCTTATTTTCTCACCTCAGCACGATGTTGGGGTCGGCTAGCCCCTCCTCTACGCCCACGTTCTCGAGATCTGCGAACTCAGGCCGCTTCCTCAACCGGACCTGCTGCTGGTCGCACAAGGCCTCGTAGCCGCGCACAAAGCCAGCCTTCATTCATGTTTTTTTTTTTTATGGACGAAAGTAACGACGAATACACAAAATCGAGTTTGTTGGCGAGGGGTGCGCTATTGTCCCAACCTGGCGTTCGTCTTTCTGGACTTGGATGCTCTTCTTATGCATCTTCGTATGCACAGAAACAGTCTTTCAAACATAAAATTTTCGCGAGCGGTGGGACGTTTCAGAATTGTTCTTACTGGAGTTGCTTTTTGCGAGCGGAAACAAAAACTGTTTTATTTTTCTTCGGACTCGGATCGTGGCACCGAAGAAAAAAATAGTACTACAACAAAGTACCAGAACTGCAACCCCGTAATATTACCTGCTCGTACTTCACCAGGTGTAGCTTTGCCTCCCGCTCCACCGCGGGCATTGTCTGCGATCGACAAGAGAGACGAATGAAAGCGTGAGGGAAGCAAGGAGTTGGCGTAAAAAAACGGAGAGAGAGAGAGAGAGAGAGAGAGAGACAGAGAAAGAAAGAGACATGCAGAGAGGAACGGCAGACCACATGCTACAATACACAACACACCCAGCCGGCAAAGTGCAAGAGAGAGAGAGAGAGAGAGAAGAGTCTTTACAGCCACCACCACCAACAACGCGAAAGACACACAAGACCAAAGGAACGGCACGCACTTGCCTCCCACACACCAAACCAAAACCACCAACAACAAACCAAAACACGACCAGCAGTCAAAACGAACCGCCGCTCCTCCACCACTCACCATCACACCACCACCACAAAAAGATCGCACACCAAAAAAAAAAACAACGGGTCAGGAATCACACCGCCTACCCGCTGGAGGCATGCATGCAGACAACAGCAGCACGCAGCAACAACAAGGACAACAACAACCCGCAAACAAAAACATGCCTACTACGACAAACAGGAAAAGGAAAAAACAAAAAAAAAAAGCACCACGTTGTACCGCTGTAGGAATAAAAAAAAGCACCACGTTGTACCGCTGTAGGCATGCATGCATGCATGCAAGCGAGAAAGCGTACACACATCAAAGACATGCTGTACCTCGGCGTTCTGCAGGGCGGCGATGACGAGCTCCCTCTCTCGGGCATCGGCGAAGGTGCTTCCCGCCGTAGAGTTGCTGGCGTGCTCTGCGGACCGCGACGTCCCGCCGCTGCCGCTCCTGGCCAGGGCCTTCTTCTGGTTGTGCGTGCGTGAGTGTGCGTGTGTGTGTGTGTGTTTTTTTTTTTTATTATTATTATTATTAGCATCGACCGCGCTAACCGGCTGACCAATGAAAAGACGTCAGTCTCAGTGCGGGCGAAAACAAAAAAACACTTCTAAGTGCCATTAACTGGGACCCCGTGAGGGGTGTGTGTGTTGTTCGTCCTGTCTGTTATGGCGACGAGAGTCCCCCCATTTTTCGTGGTGAGACGTGTGCCGCACGTGTTTCATTGTGTTTAATTGCTAATAGCATCGACGGCACGATCATTTGTTTTCTTACGATCGATCGCCCTCCTGTCTCTCTCCGTGTGTGTGTTTACATGTTGTGCAGGTTTCCAGTATGCGGTCTCACCGTAAAACGCAAAAAATGCGACTGGCCACGGAAAAAAAATAGTCCAGTCTGGTTGATGATAACTTTCTTTCAAGCTGTACAGCAGTTGCCCAAATAAAAAAAGGCTACGAAGCAACAGCACAACTACAACAGATACCAAAACCACCAAAGGCTACGCAATAAGCAACAGAACCACTCGACACCACGACCATGACAAATCGACCACAGCGGTGGCGGTACCTGCGCAGCGCCAGCTGCCCGATACAAGAGGCTCTTGCATCTGTGGGGAAGAGGTGATTTTTGTATTTCTTACAAAAAAAATAGTCAACGATCTGACGAACAACAACATCAACGGCGACTCCCAAACCCACAACGGCAAAAACAGCGGCGACGTTCCACGGCGTACATACCTGAGCAGCACCGGCTCGCTCCGTGATGTCGGCGAGCTGCCTCTGGGTGGCGTTTTCCGCGGCAAGGTTGCCATCGCCGGGGCCCATGACGCTGCCCCAGCCGGACACGCTGGAGCCGGGAGAGATGACGCTGTTGGTCACGCTTGAGGTCATCTTTCCCATGCCCGCCGGCGTCGTCGCCGCCGCCGACCTCGACGAGGGGGCCTGCGGGCGCAAGGCCGGTGGGAGGGGGAGGGGGGGGGGGGGGACGGAACTCATTCTTCCTGGTTACGTTGAGTAGGTGGAGCTCCGACTGTTCGTCAAGCATTTCTCTTCAACCGGAGTAACCGGTTTGAGTATTTTTACTACTCCTACGTCGAGGGAAGGGGGTGCACTCATGTACACTGGGGAGGGGTGCTCATTTGCTGCTTGCCACAGGTCAACCCAGGGTCGACCGTTCACCAAGCGGTCCATTCCAAGGGGAGACACCGTACAATAAGGCTACACTCCTTACTACTTGTAGATGAGAGCAACATGTCGGGCGCCCTCCAAGTCGGAATGTGGCGTGCTTCACATGGCAATTTCTTGCTCGCCGTATCCCCTGCCGAATCCTAGCGCTATCTTGGCATGACGTGAATCCTACGTGCCCTGCGGTTAGCCTCTACCACTCCCCTTCAAGATCATTATCGGAGACCCCGGTCTGATACCCCCCCCTCCCCCCCCCCGGTGTTTGCCATCGGGGTTGGGTTTTCGTCGCTTGGCAACGACGTTGTAAAACAAGCCAATTCACTTCGTGAACTCGGCAACCAGGTTACCGGGTTTTTTTTTTACCTCTGTTCTTTTTTGGCGGTAACCGTAAATGGTGGTCGAGTAGATCATGTTGTGCGGGGTCGAGAACCCTCACTCCGCGCAAGAGGGGTGATCGCACCACGTTGTGTTACAATGGTCAAGATTCTCGAGACAGTTACACAGTGCTTATAACTGTCTCTGGACGTGAAAGCACCAGAAAATAAATTTAAGTCATACGCAGCTGTCATCCGTACGCAAGGAAGTAAGCACAAGATGCCGAACACCCTTAGCAGGATGCAGCTCACCCTTCATGCGACTCGCCGAATACCTCACGGCGCTTCGCGCTTGGTGATGTGAGAGCCTGGTCCGGTGAGAACCCGGCGTGCTCCGTCCCGGCTTTTGTAGGGATGCGAGGT